TCCTCACTTGTTTAGTGGTTGGTGCATAAATTTGAATAATAGTGGTATTAACTGTTTTTCCTGTAGGCAGATGGATGATAATATCCTATCACAGACAGTGTTGTACGTCATGACTTATCTGTATATGTTCTTTTTGACAGTGAATGCAACACTATTCCTCTTCAGTTTGTCATTCCCTGCATAGTAAACCACGTGGTTGTCAAATTCAAACTGGCCAGTACCAGTCCATTTCAGCTCACTAATGCCTAAGATATTGATGTTTATGCATTCCATTTCATTTTTGACCATTTCTAATTATCCTAGATTCGTGCTTTGTACATTCCATGTTCTGATTATTAGTGGATGTTTACGTTTGTTTCTTTTCATATTGAGTTGTGCCCCATCAGTAAGATTAACTACTCCTCTATTTTTATTACCCATCTTCTACCTTTATATTTGTAACAATTGTAATTAGCCATAACAATTACTCGCTATTCAATCAAAATAATCCTATCCACATCTTCTTTCACCAGACCCATGTAGACAAGATGAAAATGTTCATTGGGGATTCTACCTCTCCTCCCTCACTCACTCTGAAACTAAACTCCCACTTAAAAACTTGTAAGCCAGTCATTTTGTGACTTTATAACCCCCATTTTAGGTAGCCAATGTCTAAGTTGCCCATCCCTATCAACCCTATATACTGAGGGATAGTCTTGATCCTTGATGTAAAGACTCCTTCCCTCTCAGTTGGTATTTTGAGCAACTATATCTAATAATCAAAGGTCAAGTTCATCAAATTGTAGCAATTTACACTTGCTTCCTGTATCAAACGTCTTTATCTTCCTTTAGTCGAATTCTGATCATCAGGCTATCCGAGCTAGGTCAAATGGGTACTATCTGAAAATTTGGGCGTGCTTGCATACCTCTCCCCACTTCTTATCAGCTGGACACTTTACTCTCAACTCTAGCCCCCAGTGACTAGGTCACTGTCCATGGGCTCAGGAGTTCACAAGTGTCCTCCAACTTTGGAACAGCCAGCCCTTCCTCTTCTCTCTCTCCTATCAAGGTCGACAGAAGTCTATGAAACATGGTCATTCTCAGTCCATATCTTCATTGCTCCCTTTCCCCCACTTCAACTCACAAATCTTCCAAGGCAGTTACCAGTAAGCTTGCCGCCTGTTCTTGTGTTCCCTTTGAATTTCAGTCTTGGAAGGGGTTTTTTTCCTGAAGGGCCTTGATGGCTCCCAGGTAAACAGCTCATTTTTTTCTTATAATAGGCAAACAGTCTGCTTTTTTTTTTTTTCCCCCTGCTGGTCTTTCTGTCAAGAATTATCTTCTGTTCCTCCAGCTGCTCCAAGTTGGTCTGCATGTCCTTTCATGCGGGAATGTCCCACCT